CCAATTACAACAGCAATAACACTGATTACATAAGATATTAAAACTGCCGAGAACACGCGTGCAGTTTTATTTTTTGTTGTTTTTTTTTTTCCATCCAAGTACGAGATATGGAATTTAAATAAAATATACATGTGCAAGATGATGAACATGTCATTATGTATCTAATCTATACAGACGAACAGAAAAGAATTAAAATAAACATTATGTAGTTAACACAACTACTAACAAGAGGCTCATAGGCCACAGCGCTCACCTAAGAAACTAGGCCCTTCTGTTCTTTATCCGGAATTTTTCCCAATATATTCCTATTTAAAATTAAGATAATATTTGGTCATCCCGCCCTACCCCCAGCCCCACCCAACCCCCTCATGTGTCATGATTTGTGCAAACTTGAATCTGAGGATGCTTCTATACATGAATAATCATGGCTTTGCTGTTCTGAAGAAGAAGACTTAAACAAGATTTTTCCTTTATATTAATTATTATGTAAAACTTTGATTATGGCCCCATCCTACCCCAGGGGATCATGATTTGAAAAACTAGAATCTTTACTACCTGAAGATGCTTCAGTATAAATACAACTAACGATCGCTTTGCTGTTTTTGAAATGAAGAATTTTAAAGGTTTTCCCAAATTAGATGAAAAACTTTGATCGCACATAGAGGCCCCACCCTACTCCCGGGGGTCATGATTTGGACAAACTTAATATGACTTATCATGACCTTGTTGTTCTTGAGAAGAAGAATTTTAAAGATTTCCCCCATGTATTCCTATGTAAAACTTTGATCGCCCATTATTAAGACTTACGATTTGCGAGTTATGATTAAATTAGCTGCAGAACTGTAGCCTTATGGTTTTATATTTTAGTCTTTGACCGTAACGCTACAGATCTCGTGATGCAAATATGGTGCAATTTACAGCGCAAGATTTTTTGCGCACTATTGGGGAGAATTTCTCTGCTTTACAGCATTGATCAATCAACTACCTCCCACTCCCTAATTTTAGACATATTCTTCAACCAACCTAAATATTTTATCCACCTCCTAACCCTTTACAGTCGTCTCTACAAACAGTAATCTTGCTTGTTTTGAACTTTCTGCCATCCGACAAAAAATTCAAAAGAAGCGAGTTTATTGGTCTGTAGAGACGACTTTAAACGGAAAGGAGGTGGATAAGATATACAGGTTGGTTAAAGAATATGTCTAGAATGGTTAGGGAGTGAAATATAGTTGGTTGATCAATGCTGGAAAGTGAATGAAATCTCCCCAACAGTGCGTGCGCAAAAAAGGCGCTGTAAATCGCACCATACATGTATCTGCATTACTAGATCAATGGCGTTATGGTCAAAGACTAACATATAAAACCATATAACGCTACAGTTCTACAGCTACGATTAAAGTTGCTTGCAAGTCTACGGGCAGTCAGGGGCACTCGCAAATTGACTTGCGAGCACGTAGATAAACGAAAATGGCGTCTGTTTTCCTGGAAGCAGACGATGCTTAACAAAACCTGATTCTTGGTATTTGAGTTTACCTTGTCGAGTTACAGATCAAGTTGGCATTTTCGAATCGTTTTGATGATTTTGACAGAATTACAGCCTTTTTAATTTTTGAGGAGAAGCAGAATACACTTACCGATAGGGGGACTAGTATTGCTTATGCAAAACTCTCAGAATGCTTGTTTTGATTTGATTTCATCTGCTATAGAATTTTAAAAAATGTATATACTGTGAAAACATATATTTTCAATACATGTATTTATTTTATACATTGTAAATAGATTTGTAGAAATGAAAAAAAAAAAAAAAACAAGTTAAAAAAACTTTTTACCCGAACAAAAAGGGAGAGACAGGAACATTACACCGTCAAAAATCAGAAGTTACAGGAACAAATACCAGTGGAATTATTCTGAAATGCAGTTAACTGTAGACGAAGAGAACTATCGTTGCTAGGAATTACAAATAGCGCTTGAAATAATGTAAAATAATATATAAAATACAGTTTATTATGTAGCATAGTAACCATTGTAAATATATATGTAAGCTCATTATATTGAAATGCAAATCTGATCATTATGTATTACGAATGATTCATTAAAACAATAATTTGCAGAATAAGTGCGCACATCTTTTGAAACATTTTAAAGGTTCTTGTCATATTCGTTGATCCTCACAGTTCTACTTAATTCTATGATCGTTACTATTGTTATTTTTTAAAACTCTTTCTTTTGTAATGTTTTTATGATCTCCTGTTTCTAAATCAAATCTTCTCCATGAAAAACTTATAACCCCGTTCTTTCATGCCAAACGATTAGCCGCTTTTACATTTATAATATTTTCTTTTGTTTATTCTCTTCAAAGTCCTAAATTTATTTTTATTTTAGAAATGTGATTCTTTATTGCCTGACGCCACGTGCATATAAGGCAGTATAAGGATTAATTTTTCCATGATCCGAATCTAAGCGATCATTTTTAATAAACTAGATTTTGTGCAAGCTGATTCACATCGGAATTTGTTACCTGCATTTAAACAAATACAGTTTGCAGAAGAAAGAATCATATTACTGATGCAAAATAATGATGTGTTTCATTCCTTCAGTTTTTTTTTTTTTTTGCATGCACATGTTTAATCTTTGCGATTCTTTGTACGGACATGTCCGTTTAACATTTTTTCTGTGTTTCTAAACAACTGTATCAGTCCATTTGCCTTCTACGAAAGGGGTGACACAATCATTTCGCGCCAAATGTCACATGTAAATTATCTCGCGCCTTTTTCTTTGATTGTTCTATTGAATGGGTGTGATAACTTCTATGGAAATATTCTTTTAACCTGATTCTTAAGCTTCTTCTGCCCTTTTCACAAAAAATCTTACGACTAAGATTAAAATTTGACAATTCTGCAATTTTTTGTTCTATAAAGATATTTAATTTTTTCTTTAAATATTATTTACAATGTAATCTAGTTAAATAGAAATATGAATTTTGGTGATCTACTACAGTTAAGATACTTCTTAGAGAATGGGAAAATATTTATCTTAGTCGTAAGATTCTTTGTGAAAAAGGCCATAGATTTTTTTATAAACAGTAAATTTTATCTCATATTTTAAAACACCTTGTATACGGGCAGGCAACACTAAAGCAATGGATTTGCTGATTATTCTTACTATTTATCCCATAAGTGGACTAGTCCAATCATAAACAAACTCCCTCCACCTAGTAAATGGGACATCTCTTTGATTCAGTCTGCCCCCCCCCTTTTTTCAATATTACATTTATTAATAATGTACGTTACAAGGTTAGGTTTTTTAAGAAAGCTCAGAAAGTCTTCCAGTAGCATATCATTTCATGCTTTTTGATGAACAAGGGTTTCCTTTTAATACAGTGATAAGAGTGTAGGCCAGTACCCGTAGAGGAATGGGCTTCACTCCCGTAAGGTTCTAAGTAAAGAATCGGCAAAACGAAGAAGGCACTCATCATGATCCGTACTAGTTTTCATTTCATAAAAAGCACGTTATTATAATTATGAGAAAGGTCCTGAAATTGATTGAGAAGAACAACTAAACAATTTTAAAACTGTACATAAAGATGTATTTTAAACTCATTTATAATACTTGTACATCTATATATGGTAAAACCATCATCGCGTGAGTTTTGTCGGGGGTGGGGGTGGTGAGGGAGGGGGGTGGTGGTGGTGTCGTTACATGTATTGATATCTTGTTTTGCTCTAGCTATAAAGTGTACAGGCCATTTACTTTGCGTCCTAGAGCAGCATTGAAGCATTTTTGTCTCAAACACTTCAAGACAACTTTCCCAGTTAAAACTGTTCATAATTTACATAACGACGGAAAATAGACCAGTCTATAAATAGAGACCGTCTCATCAGTCTATCACTGACCAGAGAGTGTGCATGAAGAAGCGCGCCCTCTAGTAAGAGAGTACATGTAATATGAATTTCTTTAAAACGAATCATCTAACTATTTTTCCCAGAATTATAATCTACGCTAGCGCACTTGCAGTTTCATCCCAACGTAACTAGTCAGCCCGTAGGCTAACTAATAAATGACCAAATAGTGGCATGTCTTAGATATTCGTTAATTTGTAGTATTTCGTTATGAGAAAGTCAATTGTACATCTTGTGTAATGAAGTATCGCAACACTGTCGCTCCTTGATGACGGAAACGTTTAGCACCTCTCTTGCTTATACGTTCCATAGATATTGATTGATTAGTCAGGCAAGCTTTTTGAAAAGCTATTACTTGTTTTAGCTTAAAGTTGTCTTAAATGCGCTAAGTTTAACGACATTGGATATATCTAGCATTGTTCTTGTATTTTCCAACGATATGTAAGTATCTGCATGTCTCTCAGTGATAAACATCCAAGGTCAAAATAATTTATATAAAATGAAGAGAAATCAAAACCCAATTTACAGAATTGTATCTTTGTGTCGTCTACTTATGAACCAAGTTTCATATAAATCATATCAACCTGTATGAAGAGTAACGTTTTGAAAGAAAAAAAACAATTACGAATTTTTCTAATTTTTGAACTTTCACAACGTCTTTTATAAGGACTGATTTAAAAATTGTTAATCGTAGTGTAGTCTACTATAGTATGTTTAAGTTCTATTGAAGTTGGACCAAACCCATAGGAGGTGTAGCATTTTGAATAAAAATTTCCAGAACTTTTATATATTTAGTAACATTGGCAATGGTAACACTTTTCATCAAAATAAAAAAAAAACCCCGATCTTAAGATTTATTTATCCACTTAAGATAGTCTCCCATATACCAAGTTTTACTGAAATCAAACCAAAGCTGCCTTTCATACAGCTTGAGTTGGATTAGTATCAAAATCTCAGTAAACTACGGAACACAAGGAAAAATTTAAAAGAATATTTGTTCATATGACATAAATTGGTATTTCTGTCTTTCCACCTGAGAAACAGAGGGAGAAGGTATGTATTTATGAAGAAAAAGAATGAAATGAATAAAACACATTTCACTTTTCTTTGGTACAAGTTCTTTATGATATTTTTTCATGATCCAAATATTTTGATAACTACTTTGTCTATGTTTTTACACTAAGATACTCCTTATATCTATGTGCTGTAATTCCCATCGCTGAGTATGTTTATTATATAAAATAGAGAAATTATTTTTCTTTCTAAGTTATAATTCTTCTTTCAAATACTGTTATATGTCCCTTTCTTCCCTCGTCGAACTATAAATAACACACCATCCTTCAATAAAAACAAAGATATTATATTATATTCTAATAATCTCTTTCAAAATCGTTGATTTACTCCGATAAAAGTAATTTTTTTTAAAAGTAAAGAAAAGAAGATATAATCTTAATTACACATTTATTAGCGCACAATCTTCCTCATAAACTGATAAGCGTAATCATGAATTAGCACGACTTCTACACGTATTTGCTATTGAATAATCATATATTAGTGTGTACATTAGCGACCAAGAATCAGCGCGAAAGGCGCTAAAGTCTGATTACTGCTAGATTAAGTAAGTTAACAGTAATCTAATTTTTTTGTTCGATTCTTAACCTGGAAGTAATAATTAAACCTCTCGCTGATATACCAACAAGAATGGGGGAAGAAGAACCCAACAATATCTTATATAAATTCAAAGAATCAGACACCAGACACATTTCTGCCAACCTCTTCATTTATTATCCTTATTAATATGGGGAGTTGCGAAGTGAATTGTACATTTCATTCTAAATGAGATCAATGTGCTCTGTTTTTTTTTTTTTTTTTTTTTTTGAAATTCATGCATATCACAATACATGCTTTTCCAATTTAAATATTGGGATATAAAATTTGCTTGAGAATTGGGTGTCCGTTTCCTGAAAGTTTACTAATAATGAAAAATGTTCATGTCTATGCTGTGATTTAATAATAAATACTCAAATAATTTTGAGAATTTTGAATGGTATCGTATGTAACGGTGCTTCCAAGAAGTGCCTGTAGCGCACATATACTTCTGTCCTGACATTGTAAGTCTTAAACTTAAATCTTGCCTTGCGAAAAGATTCATGAGAAAGATGATCGAAAAGAAGTATTTAAAAAAATGAAATATAAATTAATAATTGTTAAAAAGATCTATCTTGGAGAATACCTTAATGAGACCTGGAAGTCCGAACCAGAAACTAGAATTAGGTATTGCATGCTTGCCACTATTCTTCTTGATAAAGATTTGGAATAACACTCCGCCAATCAAATAAACAAATAACAGGCTAAAAAATCTAAAATAGAAAAACACGTTCCAAATATGGCGACTTCAATGGAAACAAAATGTTGTTTTTATCAATATTGTTTTGGTAAAAATTTATAATTGACTGCATGTCATATTGAAAATTCGAAATCTAATAATCAGAAACAAAATCCATATTAAACAGTTTTAAAATACGGTGTTTAACACAGCTGCTCTTATTAAAATCTCCATAATCCTATATAATACCATGATTGTACTTACATTATAATTAATATGGTTCCTGCAGATATCCCACTTTCCTTTCGGGGACATGCGTATTTACTTTGAAAAGTTAATACCTAAAATGCAAATGATGTATACATGTACGCTATAAACATTGGAGGACTTACACCCTCCCTCTAGCACCCATTGAAAACAAAATATGATATAGAGATTATTACAATATTTTTTGTGATATATGCTATACTTGAAGAGATATATCATTATTTTGTCTATTCTTTAATGGATGTTTTCTAAGCTGATAATGTTAATATTCATGGGTAAAAATTATAAACTTAAAAGAAGGTATTACTCGTCTCATCTAATTTAATTCATGGTCATGACTTGTCTAATTTATGTCAGATGAAATAAAGTTGAAAGCAATTACAATACGGTTAGTGATGTTTCCTAGCTAGACAACATCTAATAATCTAGCTTTTTGAAGTACTTATATTTTGTATATGATGATGACTGCTAATTTTTATAGGTAGACATATATATTTTTGAATACGCACATAAGTTCCTTGGGTCGTTTCTCCAGCAGGTGTAAAGACATCCGGGCCTTGAGCACACTTTAGATATAACATTGTTGTTCTTAAAATGAAAAAAGAAGATACATGTAAAGAAGGTATATTGCACTGTACTACCAATAAATTTCATATTGACAGAATGCTGAAAAGTACTTGCACCTTAAGGAGACCAACCTAATTAGTTTAAAGTTGAAAATCATGTCGTTTAAGCTTAAGACAGTGCACAATAGATAGGCCAATTTTTCCCTCAAATTCAATTTTATTCAAACTTTGATATTTTGTTCTAGGATACAAAATCTCTGTTTATATGTAATATGAAAAAACAAAACACAAAACAAAAAACAACCATACATTTTTTACCCACATAGTTTGAAATATGACCCATCAGACCCCAGTGCAAAAAGGTTGTAAAATCAGACAGCCGACATGAGATTGTGCATTATTTTCAAATAACCAATTGATCTATTGCAAACTTGTGTGATGCTATTTATGAAGGCAACCTTTTTTGTACTAAAATTTAGTAAAATAGTTTGATACCAGTATATTTGAGTAAAATGTGATGTAAAAAAAAAAAGAACATACATAGTCCGGATATTGCAATTTACATGTAAATATGCCACACATTAAGTCCTCTTCAAAGAAAATGTATAATTCTATTTTTACAAATAATCAATAGAATAATTGAAATGGAACCTGGATTAAAATATGTCAAAAAGAGGAAATTTGAACAGACAGTTTTAGATATTTCGGCGATTTTAAATAAATCAAATGCAAAGTGTAAAGATTCATCAGATGAAGTCACTTTATATGACCTTTGTCCTCTTAATATGACCTTGACCTTTTTTGTACAAAAAATCGAGACTCCTTATAGATATGTCCAAATATCAGGTCTCTACTATAAATGGATCAAAAGTTACATTGCATTTAATAACAGACAGTCATATGGCATGTGGATGGCATAAACACGATCCAAAATGTAGGCTCCCGAATGACCAATATATAGGATGTCTCTAAATTTTTTTCAAAATATGGAGAAAACATGTCGCAGCTTTTTATTTTTCTTAAAAAATCCTTAATTATTGACCTTATAGTGAAATTATTCTTTTCTCTGGTGTACTTTATAAGATATGCAATAAAACAGATTTCATGGGTGTTGTGTACTACCTTAAGTTTATACTATCTATACAGTCATGTAATTAGAAAAAAAGATAATCTTTACTTATATACAGTATCTTAAACATGTTTTTCTCAGTATTTCCCTATAGAATATTATGTGTTATTGGAACATATAGAAAACAATGGTTCCAAACAAATACCAGTAGACTTCCTATATATATATCCCAACCGATCTTACCTGAGGTCATTGCTCTTTGTAACAGTATCTGCGCTGTATGTTATTGTGTATAGTTGATTAGTAGTATCATAATCAAATACAGCACTGTCTTGTGTACCGCAGTTATACTGTAGGCTAGCGTGGGTCTGACATACCTATAGAGTAAATTAAACACTGCTTTTACAAAAAAGAAATGAAAAATCGGAAACTCTAGATCGATCTTTGAATAATTTAACGTGATTTCAAAAATGATATTAAATCGTTTGGACATTGAACCCAATGTAGTCTCGTATAAATTAATTGATCATTTATGATTTCAAAAATATGTTAACCTTATCAAAGATATATACAAAGCTTTCTTTACTTAATAGAATGTCGAATCTGAATCATTATTAAAGTTAGTTATAACATATGAATAAACTAAATTAGTTAATTCGGAATTCGGATATTCCATTTAAGATGTGTTACATATGTATGTTTTAAAAAAAACAACAACAACAGTATAATGCCAACTAAATTTATTACCTTACAGGTAACTATATTTTCCCGTTTCTATAGATATAACTCAGATACTGATTCCTACATTTTATTTCGAAAACATCGACTGTGACCTTGAAAGTATCTGAAATGTTTTATCGAAATAAAAAAAATTATTTGCATCGGTTTGAACGCTCGACGAGTAAGGCTACTAAGAAATAAGTTGATGTTACAATTATTTCAACAACCTCGTACAAAGTCAGCATTTTCTAGATTCTATGGTCGTTATTATGACCTTGTAAACAAATATAACCTATCATTAGGTCGTTTTTTTTTGGCCGAGGTATTTGAGAAAACACTGACTTTAATATTAAAATAAATAACACAACAATTGAAGATCAAAAAAAAATATGGGTTGGTACATGTAATGAATTTTAAAAGATTTTATACTTATAGTGGAGTGCACAAGTCTGTTACAATGTGAATGATAAAAGCATGCCCTCAAGAGTGATAGAACGTAGCAATAGTCAACATTCCTTGACGACGGGTGACATTCCCAGAACAATGTTGACTGCACAGAAATTATGCGCTGACGGTTCACCAATATATGCATGCATGTACATGTATTGTATAAAATATTCAATATAATAAATATTGCATGAAGTTGAGGGTAACATTAAACCTCCCCCCTCCCCCCCGAAAACTTTTTTCCTTGTGGTGAAAATGTTCTTGGTTTTACTCAACAGCATGCAGTATTTATGTAATATACATTCACAAAATTATACGAGGGTTGATCTAAAAGTAATGTCACAACTACTATAAAATCTTTAATAATCGAAAGTTATCAACAAAAAATTATATACTACCTTTATATATTTGGACTTCTGCCTTATAATTTCATTCAGATCTATGCAGTACGTTTAAAATAAACACAACGCTGGCTCTCGTCTATCGGCGCGTGTACTGGCGTCGTTATGACGTTTCTCTTTGACACTCTTTTTTCAGTTCATCTGCAACTAAGATCTTCGCAAAAAGGAACGAATTTAAAAATATCATCAAGACAAAGTCCAAATGATTTTAATAAAGCAACTCAAAACAAGACGCTTTATAACAAAATTGCACTAAGATTATTAAAAAGAAACACCTGAGAGGTTAATCAAGATATACGGATGAACTGAAAATTAAGTGCCGAAAAAAAGAAACGTCATAAATTCGTCGGTAAAATTCTTGCGGCGATAGACAAAACCTAACGTTTTTTAAAAAATATTTTATATAACTGAATGAAATTTTTCAGGTAAACAAAATAGATAGAGGAATTACTTTGTAACAATTTGCTGATAACATTCCATTATTAAAGATTTTATAGCAGTTGTGACATTACTTTTTAGATCAGATACGTAAATTTATGTTAAAGATATAAGCGCAGTATACGGTATTTTGGGACAACACTCATGAATATACTGTTCAACGGCTGATTTAAGACACTTTCATATGTACATCAGATGGTTTAAAGTGTGAGACTACACGTTTGTGAATCGAAGTAGATTTATGCATACATTCGACGACTTCCAAATCAATTCCCTTGCCTACTTAAACGTTCGTAAACAGCTGAACGCGATTTCAAATTTTACAATGCTCAACATAAAATTAATATTTATAGACCTCAACATAACCCCCCCCCCCCCCCCCCGGACTGGACAGTCTTATAATTTTATTTTAAGTTACCGCTGCATTGGTGCACGCTCCTTCTGAGAAAGATTTACATGGATTCCAAGAATACTGGTCAAGCTGCGCAACGTCAATAACGTCAAGAAAGCTGTATGAAAGGAAAAGATATCAATTTCTAATACATTTTTCATATATATTCTATTTACATATCTAATATTTATATCATTATCATCATTATTATTAATTATCATTATTGCATAAAAATTGAGTTTGATCCCAACAAATAGGGAAGGCTTGCCTTTGCAAATCCTATGATTATATCATAACTTAGAATAAAGTGCATTTATTGTCTACTTAATCTTACTATTTAAGATCCATTCACATATTTAGCCACTGATATAAACTACTATACAATAGCATAGCTAACCTAATATTATCAATCGTAAAACGTTCTAAACATCGCAAAAAAAAGAATGACTTACGCAGGTCCATTAGATTTTGCCACTGGATCCAAGTCTATTACTTTTCCATCATCCAATTTACATTTACAAGAATTCACTTTTTTACATGCACCTTGCCCAGCTATAAATCCCGATAACTTAAACAGAGTTAATATCACCATTAAATATTTCATGGCTGCCGATATATTAGACTAAATGGACGGTTTATCTCATCCCCACTGACTTCATAAAGATTTCTATATCTACATGTGATACCTCATAAAAATAAACACTGACCATCGATATCGTCAATACAGATAAAGGTAGGTAGGCTTGTCATAAATTAAGGGTAGCTTCCTGTTTAAAAAATCATAAACATATATGAATGTAAATTAAATAAATTTGTTTGAATGGGACAGGTTTTCAGTATGTCACATAAATATATAATAATTAGTCATAAAATATATATATTTGTCTAATTGGAACAGGATTTCAATAAGTCATATAAAACCTCACATTTGATAAGGCAGGTGTAAGTTATTTATATACAAATTATATATTGTTGCTGATATGAGCTTATTATGATAAAAACCTATCATTAGTAATTCTAATCTAAACTATTTATATAGGTTTTTAGTATTTTATCAGGAATGATAAATGTTCCAGTAACTATGAATCATATTACTTCCCAAAACAAATGTAGCTGTATATAAATTTCATGTTTTCTATTTCATAAGACGATAGGTTAATAATTACGACATTGCCCATGCATATATGCAATATGTTTTTACAATGAATTATCAGAGATCAGCAATAGTCTTTCATACGGATGTACCATAATAAAATCTGCACACATCATCAAAGGACGGAATTTTTTATTCTTAAATATATAACAGCAATAGGGTATAATCTTATAATAACTTGATTTTAATCATCATTTTCAGAGGGCTGAAAACAGAGTCCAGTTTTTACAACAGGGTGTTTATTTTCCCACAAGCTTCATATACTGTTGTATGATCCTTTCTTCCCTCCTCTTCTAATAATGAGAAATACACCATCCTAGAAAAAAAAAACCAATTTCAGTCTATAAAGATTCAACACATATAGAGAGTTTGAGGAGCATATGTTTATTAACATTTAAATATTAGAAAGAAGACAAAATAGTCCATGTTGATGAGGAATTCTAAATTTCGTGTATTTTAAGCAAAAGTTAAAATTCGATTTTGGAAATCCTGTTTTTTTATGCCCCCGGATCGAAAGATCCCGGGGGTATATTGTTTTTGTCCTGTCTGTCTGTTTATCTGTTTGTCTGTCTGTTGTCAACTTTAACCTTGCCCATAACTTTTGATTGGTTGGAGCTATGACTTTCATATTTCACATGTGTATTCCTTGTGACAAGACCTTTCTTTGGGTACCATCATATTTGACCTTTTGACCTTGACCTTGGAGTTTGACCCACTTTTGCAAAATTTTATGAGACTTTAACCTTGGCCATAACTTCTGAACAGTTGGTGCTTGGGGTTTCAAACTTCACATGTGTATTCTTTGTGACAAGGCCTTTCTTTGGATACCAACAACTTTGACCTTTTTACCTTGACCTTGGAGTTTGACCTACTTTTGAAAAACTTTAACCTTGGCCATAACTTTTGAACAATTGGTGCTTAGGGTTTCAAACTTCACATGTGTATTCCTTGTGACAAGACCTTCCTCTGGATATCAACCACTTTGACCCTTTGACCTTGACCTAGGAGTTTGACCTACTTTTGAAAAACTTTAACCTTGGCCATAACTTTTGAATGGTTGGACCTAGGGCTTTCATACTTCACATATGTAATCCTTGTGACAAGACCTTCTTTCGATACCAACCACTTTGACCCTTTGACCTTGACCAAGGAGTTTGACCTACTTTTGAAAAACTTTAACCTTGGCAATAACTTTTGAATGGTTGGTGCTAGGGCTTTCATACTTCACATATGTAATCCTTGTGACAAGATCTTCCTTTGGATACCAACCACTTTGACCTTGACCTTGACGTTTGACTTTTATTTAAAAAACTTTAACCTTCGCCATAACTTTTGAACAGTTGTATCTTGGTATTTCAAATTTCACAGGTGTATTCCTCGAGACAAGACCTTTCTTTGGGTATCAACATTTTTTATCTTTTGGCCAGGATTTTGACTTGCATTTGAAGAAACTTTAACCTTCGCCATAAGCTGCCATTCGGGGGCATCAGTGTTTCACAAACACATCTTGTTTTAATGATGTTTTAATTATTAATTTATTTTACCCATCAAACACCAATTAGAGCGAAAGGAACGGTTTTCTTTACTCATTTAAACTACTATTACATTATTTAAAAAAAAAAAAAAATATCTGCCTGATGAAGGGCATATCATACCAAGCAAGGAGTAAATTACAACACGATTGCATTGAAATAATATTTTATTGATGCAATAAAAATTCCAAATCATAATCATTATAAAGATATTGCATGTAGTTGAAAGCAACATTGAAAATTTTCACCCCAAGAAAACCTTTGTCAACTGAAGCACAGCAATCAACATTTTTAGGCACTTTTACACTGGAGGGCGTGGTCTCATCATTTACAAGGCAATATAATATTTTTTAACAATTGTTTCTCGACGAATCAGATTTAACTAATTCACATGTACATAAACGTATAATATTGTTTTGAACAAACTTTCCTCTACAAATCAGATATAGAAACAAATATTTAAATACCCACCTTAATTAGTCCCGGAAGTCCAAACCAGAAATTTGAATTAGGTATGGCATTTTTACCACTATTCTTCTTGACAAATATTTGAAATAATACTCCGCCAATCAAATAAACAACTAGTAGGCTAAAAAATCTATAACAGAAAACATTCTTATGTGAATGCACACACTTTGGCATTGTTTCCTGTATATTTTAGGCAATATATGTTTATGTGCATGTTATTTATATTGTGGGAATTAAGAAATATTGTTTAACGTACAGTACTCATGTATCAGAATGTTTAAATAACTGTTTCTTTAAACTCAGAGTAAAGGAAGTTTGAACACCTACATACGTATCTAATCTGCATACTTCAAGGTACAGATTTTTACTATCAAAATTCTCCTAGGAGTCTAGTGTACAAAGAAAACGCTGAAAATTTCCAGCGCACTAATTCACAATATGAATTAATGATCACTGATTATGATAAATTACTTGACTTATGCGTGAATTTTCCGAACAAGTAATTCCTATATAGACTTACATGATTATTAATATGGAACCTGCAGAAATTCCCGCACTCGCGGTCCTTGGGCATGCGTATTTACCTTTGAAAATCAATGCCTGAAAATCAAAGTAAGTATACAGTTGTTAAAGCCGCCGCATATTAAACATATTCTTAGCGAGGAAATATTTCTCATGATTTTTGTCTACTTTACTTTACAATTGCCTTAACAGCATCAGGTAATTAAAAAAAATAATGCAATTTTAATCATGGTAGACACAGTGCCTGGGAAGGTCAAGCAACAGGTGGGGTCAATGGCCCCACTAGCTGTTCATAAAATGATGGGGCCATTTTGAAATTTAAGGGGCCGAGGGGAAATAAATTGGGGCCATTCTAAAATAAATGATAGTATGATGCTATATGATAATGCATATATCTCTGACAACAAAATTTAGGAAAATTAAAAAGAGAGAGATTATTACGTCAGGCCAAAAACTCTCTCGGACGTTATCGTATAAGCGATACATTCTTAGTGTACCTCCGTTGCGTTTACTTGAGGAATTTTCAACGCAATGACTGCAGTGCTGTTTAAGGATTAATTGTGGGATTCTTACGAGATGCATAGTCAATCCGATAGCATGAACTAAGACAGAAATATATGTAGAGACAGTGTGAACCGACATTTTAGGTTAAAATAAAATAAATTCATGTTTTTAAACCCAGAAAGACCAGTGGGGGTACAACGTAAACAAATCGAAGTGGCATACCTTTCTCTCGTATAATGTATAGTGTGGTATTTTTGTGTGGAACGATTATTTGGGGGGTTTCACGATTTTTTCCTATGGTACACATGATGAATAAGTGCAATAAGTATAATTTGTGAAAAAAATGACCGACAAGCCCCGGGGTTGAATATCAGAATATCAAGGAGGGGGGGGGGGTCTTGTGGAACTTACAAAGTAATAAAACATGGAATCCGGGTCATTTCCCTCCAGTGTCTGTTCCGCCTAGGTCATTTCAACCCAGGTCATTTCTCTCCTAGGTCATTTCCCTCTCTTACCCGGGTCATTTCACTCCAAACATAAAAGTTATCGGTTTATCTATGGAAATGATTTTCGTGATCATGGTGGACAGACACGTTTTCGATGAGCTCGTGATTTCTTATGATTAGCAGTGTTTTAAGATGTCCAGTTCCATTTGAAAAGTGTGGAATTTACAATATAAATGGTACTAGTGTATGCTAGTCACTTTGCATTGTTATTATGGGAGGTTCAAGGAAGAAAAGAAAGAAGTCAAACAGTTCAGACGTCAGTGGCAGTGAGAACAGTTTATCGCCATTGGTCAGTAGCGTTATAAACGAAGTTAACAAAGTTTTGTATGGAGCGCCAGTAGAGACAATCAACACCACTGATCCCTGCGAGCCGGGAACCACAGAATCAGATACTATGACAGATGATATGGCTACATCCACCCCAAAAGCAGCATCGCAGAATCTGACGGAGCTAATCGATGTGTCAACTAAATTCGCAGTGCTTCAGAAACAAACTGAATCAACCAATAAAAAGCTAGACATTATAACAAGTAAGTTATCAAAATTAGACACCATTGAAGCAAAATTAGTAGAAATGGAGAGATCTGTTAAGAATTTAAATTCCAGAGTTGGGAGACTCGAAAACAAAAATCACGAAATTGAAGAATCGGTCAACTTTATGTCAGACAAGTTTGATAGTGAAAGTAGCCATATGGCAACATTAACGAAAGAGATTCAGTTGCAAATGAAAGATCAGGAGAAACAAATACTGGGTCTGCAATAACATATAACAAATATAAAAGAATTAAATGCAAAGGTCATGGAAAACGCCACAAAAGAAAAAAAAGAAACAATGCGGCACTCAAACATGATTGAAAACATGTCCAAAAATTTGGATCAAATGAGACGTGACGAGAAGGAAATGGAAGAGCGATTAGTGGATCTTCAGTATCGATCAATGAAGATGAACCTAATTTTTGAAAACCTGGGAGGTGAAGGTAGAGATGAAGATATTTACTACAGCTTAGATGTTTTCTAGCAAATGAATCAAACATACAGCACGATGTTCAGTTTGCAAATGTGCATAGATTTGGACGGCACTACAGAGGAAAAAATCGTCCGGTGGTCGCTAGATTTATATATCAGGAGGATCTTGATCTCTGTTTACAGCGAGCATCATTTCTAAGAGGGACGCCGTTCCGAGTCTACAGGCAGTACCCAGCATCAATGGCTGAAAGGCGACGCACTCTTATTCCAATCATGAATAAATTCTGGAACGATGGATCTCGAGTGAAACTTGTACGCGATCGTCTTTTTTTGACGGTGTACTCTATGATCCGAGTGATGATCAGTGGATGGAAGAACACACCGAGGAAGTCCAACCGATGGACGTTACGAGGGAGGCAAGGACTGAACGCGAGCTTACAGCTGGAAGCCGTCAGAGTAAATAGGATCACGCGGTCGCGGGATCGAACACAGACAACAGCGCAACTAATAGCCGCGGCCCCGAGACACTTAATGTGCTATCGTGGAACATTGGAAAGGGACTTAGAGTTAAACAGAAGGATAGTGATTTTTTATCTATTATCAATAGTGTAGATATAGCATGCTTAACTGAGTGTTAGATAACGGATGTCAACAGTGAAGAAATCAAGATATCTGGGTATGAGTCTTTAATTTTTCCAAGGAAGAAAGGTAAAGGAGGAGGATTAGTAATTTTTATGAAGCAAGAAATACATAAATATATAAGTGTGGAAGAAAATTTTTTAGATACCATTTTGGTTATACAACATACACATTGTAAAATTGAAAATAGACCAATTTTTCTGTTTTTCTGTTATATACCACCTGAGGGTAGTGTTTTTTATCGTAAAGAAGATATAGATTTATTTCAATGTATGTATGATCTAATTAGTAAATACACATCACTTGGATGTGTATTTTTGTCAGGCGATCTAAATGCTAGGTGTGGGCTAAAGGAAGACTTTATTGTAAATGATAATCTTTCTGAACATGTATCTGATGCAATACAACATTTGGTATCATATACTTCAGATATGTGTAATATTAATAGGAAAAGTCAGGACAGTTATATAAACCAGCACGGTAGAAAGTTTTTGAATTTATGTAAATCCACAGGTTTCCGAATTGTAAATGGTAGGCATTCCGGAGATTCTAAGGGAAGTATAACTTTCTACGGTGCCAATGGAGTCAGTTTAATTGACTACCTTATATGTCGACAGGAAACTATGCAGTATATCTTAGAATTTTCTTCTGGAATATTTAATACTTTATCTGATCATTCGCCTCTATTTTTCAAAATCAATTGCAATAATCTTCATGAAAGTACATATTCTTCTAACGACATGTCAACAAATCACTTTAGAGTAGAGTGGAAAAATGTAAGATGGAACGAGGACGAAAAAGACAGTATAAATCATGATCTAAGTAATAATGCAGAAACATTAATTAACATAGTAAATTGTCAGTTAAAAGACCAACAAGAAGTAGACAATTGTGTTAATAATCTGTGTAATGTTATAAATGAAATTGTTTTACCAAAATGTCAAACAAAACGGGAGCAATATACAAGTGAAAATTCACAAAATAAGCATAAATCTAGAAGAGATGATAAACCTTGGTTTAGTGATGTATGTAAAAAGAAATATTTGGACTATAAAAACGCTTTGCATATTTTTAATGTAAATAAATCAACGGAAAACAGAAACAAACTATTGCAGGTAAAATCAATTTATAAAACACTCGAAAGAAAACTTAAAAGAGCTTATAAATGTCAAGAAGGTAATATGATACAATCGTTAAGAAAAACCAATCCACGAAAATTCTACAAACATTTTTCAAAAAGGAAAATCAAATGTCCTGCAACTGAAATAGGGTTGGAAAATTTTTATAACCATTTTAGGAATCTAACTCAGAATACAAACTCGGAGGAAGATCAATATAACCCAGATATTGATAATTTTATTGAACCTGTATTTGATGAATTGGATTATGAAATTTCTGTCGAGGAAATTAGACATTGTATACAAGATTTAAAAAGAAATGAGTTGTAGTGAGGATTTCATACTAAATGAACTATTTATAGACTGTAGTGAGACACTCATACCGGTTTTACATAAAATGTTTAATGCTATATTTATGTCTGGGTTTTTCCCACAATCTTGGTCAAAGGCTATAATTGTACCAGTATATAAAAAGGGAGACGTTAATGACACAAACAATTATAGGGGTATTTCCTTGGTTAGTTGTATGGGTAAACTTTTTACTTCTATTCTAAATCAACGACTACTGAAGTGGGATAAAGATATATCTGTCATAACAGATGCCCAATTTGGCTTTAGACATGGTTATGGGACTGTTGATGCAATTTTTGTATTACAATCATTGGTAAATAAGTTTCTACGTAAGAAGGGTAGGAGATTATACTGCTGTTTCATAGACTATAAAAAAGCATTTGATTTTGTTAATAGGAGCAAATTATGGGCTAAGTTATGTAAGCTTGGAATACAGGGTAAATTATTGAAGATAATTAAATCTCTTTACGAAAATATCAAATCGTGCGTAAAATATGATGGTGTCCTTTCCGAATATTTTGGAAGTCAAGTTGGACTCTTTCAAGGTGAAATTTTATCCCCAATATTATACTCTTTTTATGTAAACGATTTTGAAATGCATTTGTTGAGCGAGAACTGTCCATCGATTGAAATTAATCTAATTAATATATTCCTTATTATGTATGCTGATGACACTGTTATATTAGCAGAAACACCCGAAGCTTTACAAGAAATACTTAACTCTTTGCACAATTATTGTAAGAAATGGAATCTTACTGTAAATACAGATAAAACTAAAATAATGGTTTTTAGAAATGGAGGAAAAATAAAAGAAAATGAGAAGTGGTTCCATGACAAAAATGAATTAGAAATAGTAAATGAGTTTAATTATCTTGGATTATTATTAAATTATAACGGTAAATTTACTAAAGCACAACAGAAGCTGGCAGAACAGGGGAGAAAAGCTCTTTTTAGTGTTCAAAGTAAACTTTATGATTATTACTTTAATACTCAA